TGGAGGCCATCGCTCTTAGGTTGGAGGCCATGGCTCTTTGGTTGGGAGGCCATCGCTCTTAGGTCGGAGGCCGCCATCGCTATTAGGTATCGCTATTAGGTTGGAGGCCTTAGGTTGGAGGCCATCGCTCTTAGGTTGGAGGCCATCGCTCTTTGGTTGAAGGCCATCGCTCTTTGGTTGGAGATCATCCAGGTTGATGTTGTGCCAGGATGGCAGGACCTCCCATCCCGGAGGATGAGGATGTGACCACACCGCAGATGACCTGGGTCGATCCCCAGGTGCAATGTTCACGGATAGTCGGGGCATGTCGGGTTCGGGAAAGTAGTTTTGGTAGAAATGCACCTTGGGGAATGCAGCCCCAACGTGCCTCATGTGCATCGTTGGGGACGCCTGCGAGAATATCACTCATGACTTTACTCATGCAAAAAATTCTGCGCCTGGGGTGCAAGTTTTTTCTGGCGAATTGTGTTGATGGGTGAGAGGATAATGCTTCCACCATCGACACAGACGGTGAGGAATTTTGTTAACATATTTCAAAGCATGTAGCACAAACCATATATTTGTTAACAAAGATGAACTAAGCGCGCACAACCATGCACAACCGGCTTATTTACCCTTCATGCGGCCAATCCTGCACCTCGTGGACATGAACCTGGAAACATTTCCTGCGCACCACTCCCCAATTGCAATTGCACTAATTGGAGGCCCACTACGACAACCCTACTGTATATGATATAACAATAGTTTGGGGCCTTCGATTGCCAACAGATGTTTGCCGTAACTGCAAACCGCTCATCGACTCACCTTCTTTGTGCCAGAATCGCTGGTCGGTGCCGTCTTTGGACCTTCCAGGAGCAAGGCGAGGAAGGTAATTTGTTTTTATTTTGGAGGTGTCGAAGCGAGTCTTTTGGGTCAACGCTAAGATTGGATCTAACCTCATGCTATTAAAGTTTGCGATGGACAAGTGGGGGTACTGTACTTAGCTGCACCCCGTCAAGAGCTGTGCAGGCGGGCCTGGGCCGATATGGACAGCGGCTCGGAGATGAGCTTTTCAGAGCAAAAGGCCCCTCAGCTATTCGATTTCAGCTGTTTTAGAGAACCCTGCCAAAGTCAGAGAAGGCTCCCAGTCTTTTGTGATCGTTTCGCTCGACTAACAGAGGGTGCGTCCATGGAGAGAATGTTGATACAGTTGACAGAAAAACAGCTGCGTTGAGTGGAGTATAGCGTGAGCCCCAGATCCTCATGAGATTTAAGATCATGTAATTACATTTGATTTGAGTGAATTACGGGTGCAGGGATATCATTGGCATGTGAATTCTTGTGGAACTTGATCACATGTTTGACCCTAGAGTGTTTCCAGTGTTTTGTTCCAAAGCTAGGACTTGTAGCTTTGTCATGCTTTGGCAAAAAGAGCAGTAGTTCTCACAGATGTTACTTCCGCCATCGGCCCGATCTAATCGCTGATCACTTTTGCTACTTTTCAATCACTAGTATATAACAAGAAGCTACTAGGGGCTCCTGGCATCGCTACTAGTAACAAGGACGCTACTAGTAGCTCCTGGCCGTACTACTAGTAACAAGAAGCTACTAGCACCGACCTTCGCAGGGTCAGATGAGCTACGTCACAACTCCCAAGCAGAAGTGGTCTAAGACACCGCTGGAGGGCCCAGGATGATTTGAGCGGGTTGTTTCATTTTGATCCTGACAAGACAACAATTTGACTTTGGAAAGAAGGTTTCCTCAAGCCTTCTTTTGGCACTACATCACTTTGGTTGAACTTGGGATCAGATCAAAAGATGTTTGTCCTGCTTTGGAAGTGCTTGAACATAGCACATATCCTGTGTATATTTCCCATGAGTTAACTCCATACATTCACCAAGTCTCAAGAACCGACCCATCCACATGGCGGCCACTTAGTAGCTCCTGGCATTACTACTAGGAACAAGAAGATACTAGGAACAAAGGGGCATTGCTACTAGGAGCAAGAAGCATTCCATAGTAGTGATTATCAGCATCGTTGAATCGTTGAAACCTTTGTTTGCAAACATCGAAGCAGCGGACTTGGCTTTCAGTGCACCGTGATGTAGCTCCTGGTCCTTTCGATTTTCGAATCCCAATCTCCAGAGAATAAGGGGGAAGAACCTCAGATGACAAGTGATACTGGTTCCCCAAGATCAACGATCAGGCAAACGAAGCTCTTGATCAGCTGCCTAGGGTCATAGAGCATGAAGCAAGAAGAGGAGTGAGGAGAGCTTTCTTCTTTGTCCGGCATCGATGCAGCAACACCAGAAAGCCACCCCTTCAGGTCACCTCCGAGTTCTCCTGCAGCTGTGCCTTGTCTGCAGCTTCGTGAGTGGCATTCCTCAAGGAGATGCGCCGAGGAAGAGCCAACAAGCAATAAATCAGTAGGATGAGAGATATAGTAGGATCTATTCTGTATTCAAAATCCCAAAGCAACCCTCACAAAACACTTGCACTTTGCGCGTTTGATCCACAAGATACAGCCAAAGTGATTCGACCAATGAAAGCATCGTTGAACCCGTGAAAAACTGACACGGACCCGGGCGTCCTTTGGCTGAAGTGCCTACCCCTCCCTGCTTCATTGACAACTGGGATGAAGCGATGAAAGCCGATGAACCATGCAGTTCGTGTCGTTTCGCTTCAGGGCTTGATGACCTTCGCAGGGCGCCCCGGTGGCCCCTGGTTGGCTGACCGACACAAGGGCGCTCCTTTCCTTTTTGGGCGGGGGGGAACGTGAGCTGCTAGTAGGCTTATATACAGTAAGTATGCTTAAGTTGTAGCTAAGTAAGTAAGAGGCAGGTAGTTACTATATAAGTACATCTAAGTACTGCCCAGTATGCGGGAAAGCGCACTTCCTTGAAGAAGAAGCCTTCACACTCTTGATATGGTTCCCAGATTTTTGGGGGACATTTACCCAGCATGCGCTCCTCCAGTCCGTCAGTTTGGGTCGGCTCAGTCGGCGCTTCTCCACTTGAAATGCAGCAGTGGGAATGCAGCTGCATTCCCGTCCTAATCTGGTAGACTGCCCAGGGGCTGCCAGACGCATTGAATTCCTTGCCATCCTTATCGTGTCACCCTGCAGAGACTTGGACGAAAAGGGAGGATTTCCAAAAGCAACATGAAGAGCACTATTTGCCATAAAGTGCTAGTTGTTTCGTGTCTCTTTTTGTGGTTGTTCAACCCGCCTGGTTGCGTGTCAGCCATTTGGGACAAAAGCTGCAAAACCAGAATATCAAGAAATCTTACAAGCACTCACTGACGGCTTTTGAGTTACCAGTCAGTACTGTTTTTCAACAAGTGCGGCTCAGGACTGTTTGAGTGCACCTCAGACATTTTAGTTGGGTGATGCGGTGATAGTGATAGGCTGATACGTGTGTTTATACTCCAGTTTTGATCTGCACTTAGCTGAAGAAACCTTGGACACCCGCACAGGAAAGGTACTTTCCAATCAACCCTGCGATTTGAAAGGAGAGTACCATTCAAAGGATTTTATAAATCGTATGTCTCTGCATTGCCCTCAGGCGCCGGCCTTGCCCTCTGCCACCTCTGCCATGGGCAACTCGCTGAAGGCTCGGCAGCCTTCGGAGACCTGAACACTCCAGAGAGGTTTTGGGTATTTTTGGGTCCCCCAGAGAATTAGAATTGAGGTTTTCGCAACCCATATTTTTTAAAGCTTAAATCTGCAGGGTACTACCATGTACACTGCTTGTACTCAACATGGACGTACCTAGCGAAACAAATTCAATTGGACCTGGCAGGTATTTGCACGCTATGTACACATATATATATATACCCGTCATATACTTATTTTTGAGTCGTTTTCTATTTAAGAACCCTTTGAGGTTCTCGTCTAGGTTGTCTCTTCATCAGCAGCGGGTGACATGAGGTGCTGGGCCGCTACGCAGCGTCCATCCAACTTCACTCCAATACTTGTAGCTTCTAGATTTCAAAGCTGTATCATACTGTCGAGTCAAACCAGGAAATATGAACTGTGCATAATATGAAAAAGATACAAGCAAATCTAACCATGTATCCAGTATATATATATATATGTAAAATTACTCAGCTATAAATTAAACAAGAAGCATGACACCACACTTCAATTCAAGATTGTTGCCCACCCTTTTCGCCAGGAGCGAGAACAGACCGACTTTGTGATCCCGGTGTACGTGACGGTGACCCGAGGTGGATGAAGGTGGAATGCCTTGAACGTCTCTCATCAAAAGATAGATATTAAGCGCTCAGCATTCAGAAAGGCTTGTAAGGAAGGAGTGAGAATTAGCGCAGTGCTCGGATAACGACACCGGAGTTTCTTCGATTGTTTGTCTTCAGGGTTTCTAGGTCTTAAACATTTTACTTCTTGGCATCCAGAATGGTTCCAATCCTTGGAAAGAGGAGACAGAAAGCAATGGAAACCCCAAAGCCCAGCCGAAGAACATACTTTTGTATTATAACCATTTTGAAGGTTGCTCATATATCATATATATCTAGAAAAAGCATTGTTTTGATTCTGATGGCACCATAAGAACATACATAACATATATGGTTAGACGATGGGATTCGGGATGAATGACCGTTTTACAAACTGAAAAACATGATCAACCTTGTCAAAGCTACAATACACTAGAATTCGTTGTCATTGTTGGTCTTGTGACAGGGTATAGCAAATATAACATTCTTTGCAACCCGCACTCAACTTCGCAGAGCCATGCTGGTCTGATGCATACAAACCCGTTGATTGGGAACATGTGTATTGAGGGTTGCGGTGCCTACATACATCCAGTCAATGCACAAACTTGCCCGGGTCAACAGTACCAATAGTACTGAATGCCCGATGTATTTCATAGCCCGACAGACAGACACTTCCCAAGCTCCCAGTGGAGGCGTGGCCCACTCACTTGACAATGTTTGCCTTTGCCAGAGACAGCAGCTGGCTGTGACACATCATTTTTAGGTACCCATCGCCATGGCGAAGTGCTGCCCACATTGCGGGAAACACTTTGCCGAGATGCCGAACCAGGTGCTGGGTCGATCAACTCGACGCCCACTTCGAAGCCGTGGTCGGGATAATCAGGATAAAATTTCTAAATTGAACACTTCACTACTGTATGAAGCAATTGATAGCGGGGGTTGCCCCCAGCAATAAAGTGAACTACATCCCCGTAGACGGCCCGTAGACTCCAAACAGCAAGTGTTCAAAACATAATAGAGGGGCAAGGGCATGCCAGACCCTGTCAAGAAATTACAACGACAAAGTCTAATGAGTCTAATGGAGAACCAAGCCCGCAGCAAGGAAACACCAGGAGCTAGGCAATATATAAATGGGGGAACATTGAAAGAGAAGCGCGCAGGAAACCATGCCGGGAAGCAAAAGAAAAGAATTGAGGGGAGAAAGGAAAACAAACAGAAGGACAGGTTGGCAGACAGATGAAAGGCAGCGAAGGAAGACAAGACCCTAAGGAGGACACGGTGAGATCGAAATAAAAAGAACATGGAGACGAAGGCCGGGGGTTCCCCCTGCCGTGCGTCCCGGACCCAAAAGACATGAAAAGGCGGCCCCCTCAAAATGTGCAAAAGGACAGGGAAAAACGGAATAGGAACAGAAACTGGAACAGGAAATAGAATGGCAAGGGGTGGGTGTTTCAGGGAGGGAGAAGTTAGTTGAGGCTGAAATCCGTTCAGTGACACAGCTACACCAACACACACAAGACATAAGAGACACATCCACAAAACATGCCCGTGATTTCCGATTATGTAGATGCAGCTGATAGAGGAGTCGAGTTCAGTGAACTTTTTGTTGCAAAGATTCTCCTGATGACATGAAATGCCCGGAAGTAAATCTGGGGTGTTTGTGGGTCAAAACCTCGGATTTGGGACCCATCCGCACATGCGATGCTTTTGAGATTGACTACAACAAGGCCTTGAGGCACACATTCACGAGTGGGACTGGTGACAGTGCAGTTCACCACTTCAGCTCTGTTCTCCATTCCTTTCGGATCCTTTCGGAGGATGTACCTGGAGACTGAAACTGCAGATGAGATTTGAGGCAGCAGCCTCCTTGCAGGATGCTTGGTGAGAATGGTGGTGTGATTCAGTCATTGAAGACGGCCAACAATTTGATAATTTCTTTGCAGCTGGGCATCCAACCAGCGATCTCACAACATTTTGCTCCACAGGGACTGCTTGAGTTGGTTGGTTGTTTCTTGGTCGGTTTCGCAGCCAAGGAAAGTGCCGTGCAGGCGGTATGGTGAGAGCGGGACAAAGCTGTTTCACGCTCGTGAAGGAGTTCTGAGGCTGAGGTCATTTGGAGGTTCGAGCCCTACTGAATGTTTGCCTCCACAGTTTACTGTGCAGCAAATACTTGGCAAGGGACCTGCCCAAACTCATGTTGACCGCGGGTGGTTAAAATCGCGAACTTAGAACCCCTTCGCGACTCTCCATAGATCCCTGCGCTTGTGACACAGAATTCAATCCCTGTTGCCCAAGCAACAGAACGCGTCAAGTCCGATTGTCTGCCAAGTGTTTAACGGTGAAGGGGCGGCTCCAACTAGAGCTCAGGACTCAAATGGGTTGGTTGCCTCACACACACACACACACACATTTTTTTCAATGAACATTTTGAACAGTCATCATCCCACCTTATCTTGGCTTCTCATGTTCATTGCGCAAGGCACTTTCTGTTCCGGAGGACAAGCTTAGATTTGTAGATGTGGGAACCTTGCGGCCCCAAACAGCACAACACTACGGCACCATGGCTTTGCTTGGTCTCACGTTGGCTAGATCCTAGGGAAGTGCTTTGAGGACTTTCCCAATTTCGAAGGGGTAAGCATTTCAAGATCCGTGTTACGTATTCCTTCCTTAAATGATAGCGGGCAACCCCAAGATGAGGGCGGGGTTGATGCCCAAAATGACCAAGGATGTCAACCAAATTTGGTTTCCGGGTGTCCCAGCTTGCGGTCGTGTCCATCGTCACCGCCCCTTTACTGCGAAGGGTTTGTACACCCCAACTCTGGGTTCCACCACAAAAGCAATCACACATCCGAAGCTCCAGAGTGGTCTAATGCAAGACAACCCCCCAAAATCACCGAGAACAACACACCAAATGGCAAAGCCAATGCACGAAAGACATCGACCATCAGCAATCGGTTTTCACGGATGAAAACCATGAATGCCAAAAAAAGCAACAAAAGATTGATTTGTGTGGGGAAAATTGCGCATAAGACACATAAGGCACACAAAGCATCACAAAGCTAAGTCATTATGATTTCGGGGTTCCTTGCTTGTGGACGAGATCACCCCGCCCTGCGGGCCCATTGACGTTGAACCCGCTGCACAAGACATTTTGCACCAAACCGAAAAGGGGTTTGAGAATAGCAAAAGACAGCACGAATCACGAAGCAACGACAGAAGGACATGGATGCACGCTTATGAAATCAATGCAAGAATGTTTTCCAAAATGCCTTCCTAAATGCAACGTTCATGGATTGACACATGCCATCACAACCCCTGGAACAAAGATTCACCCCTCGGAATCCGGCCAACAAACCAATGCAGAAATGGTTCTGGCACTTTGTCCCCACCATGTGCTCGCACGGATCTTCTATTGAATGGCACTTCTGCAAGTCTTGGAATCTCCCATATGCTTGGCAAACCTGGCAATTTACAATGGTTGATCATCAATCATTGTGAAATGGCCGATTTGTTTCAAATTTGCTGATGTACTGAAACAATTCTGCTGGGGGAATACTGGGCGGCACGGCAAGCCTGCGTTGTGTTTGCCACTCAATAATAATACAATCGTATTCTGTATTCAAGATTTGTGCTCTGGTTGTTTCTTAAATTATAGGAGCAGGTTTTGCTTGGCATAGAACTCAAGGTGTATTAGAGTTGAATGTGCCGATGCTCAAGCGGAGACTCAACAGCCAAATCGATGAACACACATGTTAGTATGACACTCTGGCAGTTTGCTAAACAAAGATGAGAAAGCTGGGTGTTTGGAGTGTCTCGAGGCGGAGAAAGGGTCCGCACCTTGAACAACCGTTTTTTCATTGATGATTGAGATGTGACATGTTCCACTTTTGCCTTTTGCGGACTCCCCAGCTGGTGCTAAGCCAAGCATGGCAAAAAACACGAAGCCCCTAAGCATGGAGCCGCCCTCGCCTCGGCAGGTGCCTCAGACCTGTTTTCGTGCGGGCATCCAAAAAGGTCTTCTGAGGAGCCTGAGCTTCTGAGACCTCCACCTTAGTAGCAATGGCCTCCAACCTAATAGCGGTGGCCTCCAACCTAATAGCGATGGCCTCCAACAAAAGAGCGGTGGCCTCCAACCTAAGAGCGATGGCCTCCGACCAAAGAGCGATGGCCTCCAACCAAAGAGCGATGGCCTCCAACCTAAGAGCGATGGCCTCCAACCTAATAGCGATGGCCTCCACCCTAATAGCAATGGCCTCCAACCTAATAGCGATGGCCTCCAACCTAATAGCGATGGCCTCCAACCTAATAGCGATGGCCTCCGCCCTAATAGCGACGGCCTCCACCCTAATAGCGATGGCCTCCAACCTAATAGCGATGGCCTCCAACCTAATAGCGACGGCCTCCAACCTAATAGCGATGGCCTCCAACCTAATAGCAATGGCCTCCAACCTAATAGCGATGGCCTCCAACCTAATAGCGATGGCCTCCAACCTAATAGCGATGGCCTCCGCCCTAATAGCAATGGCCTCCAACCTAATAGCGATGGCCTCCAACCTAATAGCGATGGCCTCCAACCTATTAGCAATGGCCTCCAACCTAATAGTGATGGCCTCCAACCTAATAGCGATGGCCTCCAACCTAATAGCGACGGCCTCCAATCTAATAGCGATGGCCACCAACCTAATATCAATGGCCTCCAACCTAATAGCAATGGCCTCCAACCTAATAGCGACGGCCTCCAACCTAATAGCGATGGCCTCCAACGCGACGGCCTCTGACCTAATAGCGATGGCCTCCAACCTAATAGCAATGGCCTCCAACCTATATATATAAATAGCGACGGCCTCCAACCTAATAGCGATGGCCTCCAACCTAATAGCGATGGCCTCCAACCTAATAGCGACGGACTCCAACCTAATAGCGATGGCCTCCAACCTAATAGCCATGGCCTCTAACCTATTAGCGATGGTCCAATCTAGTAGCGATGGCCTCCACCCTATTTAATGGCGATGGGCTCGAACCTAATGGCGATGGCCTCCAACCTAATTATTAGCGATGGCCTCCAACCTAGTAGCGATGGCCTCCAACCTAATAGCGATGGCCTCCAATCTAAGAGCGATGGCCTCAGCCTCCAACAAAAAAAGTCTTCTAAGTGCCTGGTTTTGTAAAGTTTGATCATGTTTTGTCTTCGGGTATAGCCTGACTCAGTGCCCGGGGTCCTATATCTGAATCGTCATGAAAGATACAAGGTGGCACAATGTGGGATCCCACCATACCAAAAAATACCCAACTCCTTGGAATTTGCTCAGATAGAGTTCGAATGCTCAGAACATCTCAGAACTATATCATTAGTTCCATGGATTCCCCTGCATTTTGCCGTTTTTCAATTATCTGGTGTGTTCTGTGGTTCCAACTGCTAACCAGATCCAGCTTGTTTGGAAATTTCGATATTCTGAACAGATAGGCTGTTCCACTGTGCCGGGTCGTTCGAAAGCTCGAAAGGCCAGACAGCAGAGGACCACTGTGGCAGCCACAAGGCTCAAGAGCCACGCTGTTACAACGTTCAACATATCTCACGGTAGCTGGACCTTGTATGGATGTCCAGATGATTGATCGAGTGCTTTCGTTTTATCCGAGGGGTTCTGCACAAAAATATGTTTTGATTGCTGTGCAGTTGCGGTTTCCCGACCCACAAAAGTCGCAGGTCCTGGCGCTATAACACGAGTGATGGGTAAAACCATACATTTGGCCCTTCTTGCAATGTTCCATCTCGGTTCCCGAAAATCCCTCAACCATAAGATGAGGAACAATTTGCTCAACACCGTGCAACAACTTAGCTTAAGGAGTGGAAATTGCTTCTCCAGTTTTGCGCGCAACCAGTTGGAGCCATGGCTTCTCTGAGTGAGCTGGCCAAGCTAGAGATGGCCAATTTCAGGACGGATTTTCCCGGCATTTCCACTGTCTAAGATTGGCTAGACTAGGGAATTTAGGGTTTAGGGATGGGATGAGATGGGCAAATTTGCAGTTCGAAGGATTTTGTGATTTTGGCAATTTGGTTTCAATTTCTTTGATATTAACATTTAGAGACGATGGAAGGGAAAGGCCCCTTCAAGAAGACCTCCTTTAAACGGGTATTAAAGTCTACCAGTCTACACGTTTTTGTTCTTTGCATGTCAATGAGCAACAAAACAGAAATTGACAGTTAGACGGGTGTGGATGGGGTGTAGCAGGCAGCGTAGACCGGATGTGTTTTGTTTGGGAAAACAGGTTTGCATAGGTTAGGTTTGCTATTCACACGCATATGGCATTATGGGTTTGACACCTTGTACTTTCGTATAACTGACTTGTGCCAAGAGCTTTGATAGCTTGAGCGCAGTGCAGGATCAATCCGCGGGAGAGCATAAGTGGAGAAACCTGGCGATCACATGTGGGGGTTGATCATCAGGTGACCGTGATTGCCCAGGCTTGTAGTTCCCTTTTGCAATGAACCCCTCTCCTGAATAATCACGGAGCCATGGCCCCCCTCAGGTGGATCTTGCGCTTCTTGAAAGGACTCTTTAGAAGGCCGCTCTGCCCCCCCTACCTAATTGCGATGGCCTCCAACCTAGAAGCGATGGCCTCCAACCTAAGAGCGATGGCCTCCAGCATTGTTCCATGTCCTTGCTAGGTAATCCTAGCCACTTGTACCCACTGCTGGAAGTCGCACCTTGCACAGTGTGGCAGGTTTTTATAAAACACCGTTTGTTTGTTTTTTGCTGTTTTTGAGACAGCCTTTGGATTTGATCTACGTTGCTGTTCGGACACGTATCCAAGTCAGGAAAGGCCCCACAACCCAACTGGAGAAGTGAGCACAGATACAGCATCCGACTTGCTGCTAAGCGGGGTGTTCTCGCGCTTTTTGCACGACATGAATGGAACTTGCGTCAGGAGTTTGTACTGAGCCAGGCACCTGGTTGGGCCAGGGCCTGTTGAATCCTTTTGTTGTTTCTGGGACGGCCAAGGAGGTTCTATCCTCCTTACCGGCGACCCCACGGATCTTGTCCAGCCGGGGCCGCAATGTGGGTGAAAGCGAGTAGTCAGGGACATTCAAGGCGTAAGGCGTAAGGCTTGTGAACGTGTTCTTGCTTTTCCCTTTCTCGAAGATAGCTTTTTGATATTATCAAAAACGAAGGTAAGGGCCCTTATCTTTTTGTTAGTCTATTTTTCTTTATACACTTCACGTGTCATTTCTTTCGACCTTTAGACCCTTTTGTTTCCAGGGTAGTGCCATCTAGGACGTGCAAAGCAAGATGTCGCGAGGATTAATGTGCTTCGCATTGCAAAACTCCCGGCTGTCAATGTGATGAGGACGATATCTAGAGCAGTAAAGACTTTCAAGCTGCCAGGATAGTAGGAGCCAACCTGCTTTCAAGTACATGCATGCAGGATAATCAATTTCCTAACCAAAATTGGACTCACCACTGGGGCTTGAAATTTTGGCGCTTGACATCATGCCCTTAACCCTCTTTGGGATGCAAAGGAATGTCAGTCACAAGCAAACCCACAGAGACTGGCCAGGCCAGAGTATGCTAGGTGGCCAATGCGAGGATGTTGGGAATCACAAGTCCATGACAACAAACGAGCAGAGAGGCTGCATGATAATGCCAGATACAGTCAAAACATGATGCCCTTTGAGCCGGGCTTGTGTGCCAACTGAGTCAAGATCTGAGGTGTCGTTGCCAACCGATGGAAGGACATCAAGCCCTCCAACAGCTCCATGTGCCGCAGCAAGAATGGGCAGCACAATGCAGCACGCACGTGTTTTGTTTGTGACGAGTTGTGTTGCAAAAGAGAGAACACAAACTCAGCATTGAACGCAACCCTCACAACCTGAAAGACGTTGATTGAGTGCGGGGGTTTCAAGACAGTTGTGCTTGGACCAGATCGCGGGCCTTAGCCAACAAAGCACTATGTTTCATAAGCACTGATTTCACCAACATCGTCTTTGGCAAGAGTTCAGCACCCGAAGTGGAGCCGCTGCAGGCTCCATGGTGAGCATTTTCTGAACTCAAACAACAGGTATATATGTGGTAACACATACCACGCATACCACGTGTGTGCGTGTGCTTTTGCTTGCGGAAGGCCCACGTCAAACATGATGAAACATGGTTGTGGATCGACGACCGACTTTTTTGGTTTCAGTCTTGATTGAGCTACACCAAATTGCTGGCTCGGGCAGGGTGGATGCGCTCTTGAGGTACGAAACGGCGCTACAGCTGCCCAACAAGAGGTGCTTGTTTTTTTCCACAACGAGTTGACCTGGATATCCTCCCAAGGGTTTATTGTAATAAACATTCAGCTGTTTGTGTCTAAGAAGGGGACAAAGTCAGGCTTCTTCCACTTTCTTCTCAAAACCACTATATGACTACACATATATTAAAACATATGTTGTAAGCTGTGACTTTGTCACCAGCCTGGTCTCGGTCTCGCAAGGCTACCAGCACTGGAACGGCTGGAGAGCGTGAAGGAGTAGCTTGGTAGTGACGTGACGTTTGTCACAATTGCTGGTGATTGCCAATCATCAGCCCGTTCTCCATTCATTTGTTCATATTTGTTCATTCCTTCTGTTTGGCCACTTTGGGTTAGAAGTCTTGCCTTGGTTTGTTGGTTGAGATCGACTCATCTCATTTTTTGGCCACTTCCTGTTGTCTTTATCGTGGTCCCTTGGTTGCTAATTTTGCTATGGATTTTCACTTCGGAGTTTCCCCAGTCAGTGTGAAGAGCTTCGGGTTCTCAGCCGGACGGGTTTCCCGAAGTGCAGTTCTTCGCTAGTCCCGAAGTCCCATGGGTCCTGAGGTCCCTGCGCAGGGATGAGGCCCGGCAGTACACCGCGTGTGCCCGATCTTCCCACCTTCACTCGGAATGTGTTCGGCGTTTAGTGTCGGGCCAATCCCGTCTCTCACATCGAGGTACTCGGGATCATCTCTAAAGAACACGGTCCCAATGCTGCTGGGCAACAAGAGAAAGGCACAAGATCACAAACGCCGGCGCAGCGCTGTACATTTTTGGAAGCACAATTTCATGCTCAAGACTCAAGACTGGGTGATCCTCAAGATGAGCTAGGAGACCGCAGTATGTTGGTATGTGGAGACTGTGGAGAGCCTACGAAGCAAAAGTCTAATTTGTAAGATAAAGATGATAAGTAACAAGTGCATCGCTAGTAGTAACAGGTGCCTTACTAGTAGTAACAGGTGCCTTACTAGTAGTAACAAAGAAGCTAGTAGGTATGTGTTTGTTCACAGCTAGACTCGACGCTGTATTTGGAACCCAAATTTATACGTAGGGGCTTCATAAAAGAAGCCTGCATGTCTCAAAGTCTGAACATGCGAACACCTCAACAGCCTGGACGTGTTGGATTCGTGTGTGCTTTTGTTACTTTGGTTCTTAGGCTTCATCTTCCCAAATGGTGTAACAGTTAACACCACAAGCTCCTTGCGAGTGCGGGTGCTGTGCGGACCGAGGCCCGGGTCACCACAGCCAGTGGCCCAAGGGGAAGGACTGTCAGATCGAAGGGAGGGAATGAGAGTGGAAATACTAGCTTCTTGTTACTAGTAAGGCCAGGAGCCCCTAGTAGCTTCTTGCTCCTAGTAGTAAGGCACTTGTTTCTAATAGCTTCTTTGTTACTACTAGTAAGGCACCTGTTACTACTAGTAAGGCACTTGTTCCTAGTAGCTTCTTTGTTACTGGGAGAGTGGGAGTGGGAACGAGAGTGCATGGATGGTCATGAGTCATGGCCTAGTGACCATTGAGTTGTTGAATTTCAACGTGCTTTGAGTGCGAAACCACACGTTTAGCACATTCTCGGCTGCCCGATGCTGGAGTGAGGGTTCAATTTTCCTGGTATTTACAGAGGATTTGGATCTGCCAAACAAGCACCTTAATCATCCTTAATCCAATGTAGCTGGTCTAGCTAGCTCTCATAATTAGCATGTGAGTGCTGCGTTGAGGTTTCGGTGTAGGAGGATGGCAAGAAGTCTTCTTGCCCGCAAACCAGATTCCGCCCCATCCCATTCTACCCGTCCTGAGCAATTTCATTTTCAACCGTTTGTTTTCATACTCCCTGCTTCTCTCAGGCACAAGAAGTTCTGCTGCGACATGACGGGCTTGCCCACGTTGACCTTGCCGGGCCGCTGAACGGGTGGAGTTGGTTGCACACACTGGGACTTGAGAAAGTAAAGGAAGAAAACAAGAGCTGACAAAGGGAAGGCAAGGCCCCTCGAAAGGGGGCTCTACATAACCTGAATATAATATATAACTTGTATATATATATACACATACATATAACTATATTCCTTCTTGTTCAACAAGACCTTAACCTCTTGGAAGGGCTAACTGTTTGCAATATCACATGTGGGGATGGAGTTTGGTTTGTCACAATTTCGAGAACACAACCATCCACATATATATATATAAATTAACGTTTCTACGCCTCTCTTGGCAGTGCTGGATAATTGTGACGGTCAGAGGTAATATATGGATGTCGTGGTCAGGCATGAGGCTTACGTGGTGGAGGCCATTGTTGGACAAACAATGGTGCGAGTCCAGGAGCAACGGCCTTCTTTTCACTTTAGGTAGTGAGTTAGGTTCCTCATCTCCACTGTAAACACATCACCAATATGCTAGACGATACAAATTAGCATCTGATTAGGACCCTGAAGTGCTTTGACCTGATCTTCTCATAGCCTCCACAGGTCTGGAAAGTCGCAAAAGGTTGGGACGCCCGGAGATCCGGATTTCGAGCACAGCCACTCTAGTCGCTTGGTCCACCAAGAGAAAACAGGATGCGAAAGCTGTGAGCCTTTTTGACCAAAGACACACACACACACACACCAAAAAAATACAGGTGTGTACACACGTACAGATAGATAGATAGGATTAGATAGGTAGAGTAGAGTAGAGTAGAGTCGAGTCGAGTCGAGTAGAGTAGAGTAGAGTAGATATATTTGAGAGATAGAGATAGAGATAGATAGATAGATAGATAGATAGATAAGATACGATAGAAAGATAGGATAGGATAGGATAGGATAGGATGATAGATAGATAGATAGATAGATAGATAGACAAGATACGATAGGATAGGATAGGATAAGATAGGATAGGATAGGATAGGATGGATGGATGGATCGATCGGTCGATCGATCGATCGATCGATCGATAGATAGATAGATAGATATATAGATAGGTACATATCGAACGTTCCATTCACTGTCGACTGCAAGGATTCCAAGCACAGCGTCAAGACTCTGGAGAGGATCTTTGAACGCTTGGCAGAGCCAGGGACTCCCAAAGCCAGTGAGTCAGCACACATTTTGGCCTTAGGAACAAGGACGCTACTTATAGGGGCTCCTGGCCTTACTACTAGGAATACTGTACAGATGAAACATGTGTGCCTTGCTTATTGCTTTCTAGAGGGGACAGAAGCATAGACCAGCTCCTAGCAGACCATGGATAAAAATGCATCAAGGCTAGTGAAAACAGAGGTGTCAAACTGGGGCTGTTGTATTGTTGAAGAATCTGGGCTTGTAAGGCCTCACGCCATCTCGCACCGGAAGTTCCTGGCTTCAATGTTCCAAGACCAGGTGGGTGAGGGTCAGCTGGCAGGTAGGGATTGAGAAAGATGACAACTAGCAACTCGGTCGGATTCAAGTTTTTTCCGCAATCAGCAACCCCTGATCAGTCAACCAGTCTGACCCCGTCTTCAACCCCCACGTTTGGGAGGCTGGATCATGCGGTTGCTTGATCTTATTATGTTTAGATCAACTCAACTCAGCTCATCTCATGCTTCATCTTGGCTCAATCTGACGTCGCTTCACAATGACTGAGTTTGGCGCATATCGACGCATCAACCCATCAAACGAGATGGTAGCCCACTGGCTGTGCAGGAGCTGGCGAGTGTGGTGGAGAAGCTGCTTGGTTGGACGTAAATTGGAGTATTTTAAGAAAGTGGCCCCGGCTACACAAAAGCCAATGGCCAACGAAGATAGGGAGAGCACAGCCAACTGGTCAGGTCATGTCAGGTCCCACTTGACGAACTTGGCTTACCACGGCAAAAGGACAAATAAATGTCAGTTTGGAGGGGGGCTCTTGAATCAAGATACACTAGAGAGTAAGAGTCAGGTGGCCAAAGCATCCCAAGAGAGATCCCCTAGCTTGAGCCGTTATATAGATTTCCCTTTTTTGTGTCGTGCTTTCTCTGCGTGTCCTCGCTGGCATCCCTGTTGGAAATACCTGCGAACATGTCTCAAGTTTCATCCAATTTCCAAAATGCCCTGCTAGCACAAGTTCATCAAGTTTACATATTCATGATACACAATTAAAACAAGCCTTCGGGTTGAGAGAGCAACACCAGGGTTTCTTGTGAAACTATGCGAAACATTGCGAAGCGATGTGAACCGCCTACTGTAATCCCAGCAAAGATTGCCATGCCCAGGTTTACGGCAGGGTTGCACGTGCCCAAGACTGATGATGAGAACGCATTTCAAGAAGCCAAGCGAAAGGCCTGAGCACTCAAAGCGGGCCCGGCCAGTCATATCAGTCACATGAGGGTCTCATATGACCCTGTCATGTGCGGGACATCAGAAACATTCACAAACTTATGTACAATCTCTTTTCAGAGCATGTCAAAGCATGTGACGCATGTCCTATCGTTTCCTACTTGTGCATCCCACAATAGTCTGAAGACAGGGCCCGGTTGAAGACCGACAAAATCAACAGAAGCCTCAACGAACTCATGTCCCTTTCCTTGCTCGGTGAGTGTTTCTTGCCCAAACAGTTTTGAGAGCAAAACATGCAAAACTCAAGGCCGCATTGACCGCCACTTCCTTCCTGACCTGGTCACCTTTGTTCCCTCATAAAGAAATGGATGACACACTGTCAATATCATTGATCCCTTTGCCGTTCCAGTCTGCAGGCGATTGTGAAGAAGATCCTGGGTATTTTGAAGGAAGTTGACAAGGAGTTCTTCAAAGGGCGAGCCAAGCTTTTCAAAAGGGAATCATTGGGCCTCCATCGCTTACTCACCATATTCAGTATTCAGCGTTTTTTTGTTTGTATCGTTTCAATGGCCGGCGGCAGGGGTTTTGTTGACCAAAGTTCAAGAACGGTCTAGTGGACAACGGGGTTCCAAATTTGGTTGGCAAACTTAGCAGCAGGTTGTGGAGGTTTGTCTTTCACCTGGGTTAAAGCAGCAAAAAGCAACCTCTTTGTCAAACCCAGAATTGAGCCAATGTTTTTTTGGCAGCATGCCCAAGCTATATCAAGATCCCTGGAAGGGTGGGCTCAATTTATCTACTATAAGTCCTGTACTCCTTTACGACCATGCCATGATGCCGATATACTTAAACATGATGCCATTGGATAGATTACCATCAATTGGACTTAAGCAAACTACTCGTGACTTGCAGACATCTTCATCCACTTGAGAGGGATGGACAAACCAGGGTGGGATGGTCGTTGCCGGCCCACTTCATTATTTCCTGAAAACGAAGATGTTGTCCACGGAAGGAAAAATAACATTTGCAGGCGGAAAACGATGCAACGAGAGCTGACCCCAGCTACACTGCACTGCACTGCAGGACAGCAGCGGGAGCACAGAGTGGGACGAGTTCTTGGAGTTCTTCCGGAAAGCTGAGCGCCAGTCCCAGAGAATCCCAGAAAAATTGGGATTTGTCCCAGTGTTTGTGGCATGTGTAGTCCAGATTGTTTAGGAATGTGAAGGGACTTGTCATTACGGCATGGATTTTTGAAGGGCATTATTATCCTTTTTCGGAAACACCCTCGTCACTGCCAACTTGTTCTATTTGATGGGAGTGAATGTGAGATTTGCCAGAGATCACAACAAGTGGTCTCCCAAAGTTTAGGAGACACATGGAGACACCTGATCTAGTGTTGTTGATCCACACTGCACCAGGTGCTTGCTTGAGTATCGCTCAGAGAAAGCTCGCAACCGCACTGCGCGACTTGGATTGCGTGGAGAAACGTGGCGAAAGGCGAAAGGTGTGTGAATGGACTGCTGAGACATTCTTGGGAGATGACACCTTTGATCCAAACCGCGAAATTGTAATTATTGGTCACTTACTGTAGTTGATGGTATTGTGATGTATTGTGACTATTGTGTGCATTGGAGGCCAATGGCAACTCACACCTCTTCTTCTATACTTACTTTCTCTTTCCAGAACTTGTTGTCTTTTGGCCCATCCAAGGGAACTCAAACATAGCAGCGCGTACCTGGCCTAACCTTTGAGGCTGCATGAAGAGGTCGAAGCATTGCGGTCAAGGCTGGAGTCTTTTTCATGATTTGTCCCTTTTGTGTTTTTTTGTGCTTTGGTGTTTGGGCTTGGGTCGAACATGCAAATGAAATCAAAACAGGGAGGCAAAGCCAACTCGCTTTTGTGAGGGGTAGCCTTTTGACATTTTGCAAGAATATCGGGACATCGGAATTTGGGCCATTGTTGGAATACGGTCTCCTGGGTTCTTGCCATCGGACGAATTATTATTGATCATGAAATTCATGTATATAACTGTAACATCAATAACATCTCTTGGTGGATCCATTTCTATCATACATACTGATTTGCATTAACTATATATAGGTAACATAAGTCATCATAATTTTACCTTCATTCTATGGATCATCAACCAAGCATAAACCAGCTTTGCCTCGTGCATCCCATACTGCACTTACCCGACTCCGCACTCCAGGCAGCACGACGACCCACCTGAGGTGGAGAAGGTTCGGCATGTGGGCCCGTGCCGTGGTCACGCTGGGCCTCGTGCTCAGGTTCCTGATTGATTGAGGATGTCATGTGTAGAATCCATTGATCAAAGATACATGTACACCATCGCTACATTGGGCAGTTTGCCAACGAGGTTTTGTCGACTGCCTGCGAGTGGTTCAACGGAATTCTTTGTGCACAGTGATGTCTAGAGTCTAGAGCAACGAAGATGTTCATTCAAGGGATGTGTCTACTACCAGCGCTGTGAAAGCGGAGCCGATGGTTGGAAGGCCCAAGCAGGATTGATACTCAGTCCAACCCCAGATCCCAGAACCCAAAGACTAAAGGCAACTGAAAACTGAGACCTCGGGTGACCTTGACCTTGAGCCCCGGGATGCACTCCGAGTGGTGTGGGGTTGCCTCCATTCCACGGATTGGCCAGGATATAAGGCAGAAAGCCTCAAATGTGGGGAGACGGGCGAGTTTCAGGCTGCAGATGCCTTAGACATCCGCAGACCTGGAGGCGTGAGATTTGATCCTCTCGCAGACAAGAGGATGCCATTGATCCTGGCGAAACACGATCATTACATATCACATGCCATCATATATTGAGAGGAAAGTAAACATACAATGACATCTTCTAGTGGGTGAGGGTAAATCTAGAGGTGCATTATTTGGTTTGAAACATTCATCCCTCTCAGCCCCAGATCCAAGAAAGGGGCCATCTGTCTCTAGAACTCCAAAAGTTAATTTGTTGGCTCACAATGGTAACCGCCAAGATGGCGGAATGAAGAGGCAAATGGAGGGAACAATTGATTCATGGATGTTTGTTTAAAAGTAGCAACAAGAAACTACTAGGCGCTCCTGGCATCGCTACTAGGAGCAAGGACGCTACTAGGGGCTCCTGACCGTACTACTAGGAACAAGAAGCTATTAGGGGCTCCTGCAAATGGACAATTGTTTGAAAGATGAAGTTTGAACCTTTGAGTTGCATGAAGTTTGGACCCCATGGGCGTGCTTTTGGGGCGGGCATGTTGCAGCCATGAAACCCAAGGGGTGCAAGCAATCCCACCAGGCGGGAGCTGCTGACCACAGAATCAGGTTGGCTCTAGTTCCCCACTCATCCACTTGAGACTCCAGGTTGATGGGTTTTCTAACATGTCGGTAGCTGTTCGGAGGTTGCACGAAGAAATGCATCTCGTTTGCCGAGTGCAAATGTCACACCTTTTCTACGCGAGGGCAACGCACCGCTCCTCAATTCGTTCGATGTACCAGTGGCGGAGATCACGCCATGCAAATCCAACGTTCCAGGAGATTCAAGGGATTGAAATTGGATCAAAAGGCAAAGTGGCAAAACACTGTAAAGACATGACTTCATCAGAAATTCCTTGGGAATTCGGAAGCGCACCCAAGGTTTGTGGATTTCATCCAATGATCGACTTAAGATTCTGCAGTTCCAAGATGCGTGACTCCGTGGAACAGGGTGGTATAGGAGCATTTTCTCCAAGACTGAAGTTGATTGAAATTAACATGATGTGGCAACAGAAGCTACTAGGGGCTCCTGGCATCGCTACTAGGAGCAAGGACGCTACTAGGGGCCGTACTACATTTGTGCCATCAACATACACTTTTGTGCCATTCGGGATGACTCAGGTGGGTTGATGTGCCACGTCGTAATGCTTTTCCACACCATGTGGTAAGGGCGAAGTGTGCAACCTTGAAGATCCTGGCTTTGACCATCTCTTCACAAACGTGAAGCTGGCATCCCTCGGATCCATGATGCACCCTCATGGGTCGCATGCGAAAAATGCGTGAAGAAAAAACTTTCTTGGAGACTTTCTTGGAGGTTGTGAGAACTCCATAGTGCAGGCCAGTTTGGTATAGTTTGGCAGTATTTTGACCAGTTTTGGGGGATTGAACTTGGAACATCTTCAGAGAGGCTGGAGCAGAGGGGTCCTCTCTGGTCAGCTTGGCAAGAACTCTCTCCCGCCAGGTGGCGCTTGCGGGCGTTTCTCTTGTCTCAAGGAGAGTCTCCAATCATTTCTGCAATAGCTTCCCGTTTGATCCATTTTGCCAACGTGTCATTTTTGGGGCTGAACATGGTGCGAAGATGTTCAGGAAGGCAATATCCTTTCCGCTGCCAGAGCACATTTTTGTAAATCCTAGGTCTCTTTATCAGCTTAGTTAATAGTTGTGGCTTTCACATTGCATAATCCTTTGTTCTTGGTCTGATTTTTGTTGTAGAGCTTTCTTCAAGCTACATAGTTCATCATATTGTCAGAAGACCATCTATACGAATACTTTGTGCTGAAGTAGTCTAGCAACACTCAGCATGCTGCTTGCATGGCGTTGTGGTGATGACCCAGGAAGGCCCAGGCACAGACCACACCGAGGGAGGGGGTGATTATTTGATTGGTGGGTGTCTGAAAGTATGGGTCGCACCTGCCAAGTTCTTTTGTGGAGGGCCAGATCGCAGGATGAGAGGTCCAAGGGACATAATTACAAGGCTGCACCCCACAGAGAGCATTGCATTCTGGAAGAAAAGGAATACACAAGGCACAAAGGGTGCATTGACCCAACATGACACGCAACATTAAACAATGCGATTTTGTTTGTGGTGTACTCCACTATATAATTTCCATATATTTCCATGAGCAATGACATGACATGGAAGCTGACAGGAGACATCCTACACTCCACCAAACTTGCTTGGATCCAACCCGGTGTGCCACCGCCGCTCCGCTGTCAGGAACAGATGCTCGGGGACCCGGGGCCACATGGGGGGGATGCATCGTGCAAGAGTGAGGGCGACTCCGTGAAATCTGCATACGGGAGCAAGGACGCTACTAGGAGCAAAGGGCATCGCTACTAGGAGCAAGGACGCTACTAGGGGCTCCTGGCTTTACTACTAGGAACAAGAAGCTATTAGAAACAATACATAGATATGGGTTTTGTTTGCTTTCTAAAAAGAATGATCGCATGATTTGTTGCCTTCGGGCCGCGGATATCTTGTTGACGGAGAAAAGGGCGAGGCTGAAGATCCATTAGTGTGTGGTGCAAAGGCCAAAAGTAGCAAATCATACCTCTAAATCCTTGGCCCCCTTCCAGAAAAATATTGCTGATTGCTGTCGATTCTTTTTTGTGCACCTTTTCGGATCCACAGTCTGTTATAATCCGTCCATTTTGTGATGAGTCTGGCCTGAGGGGAGCCGATGGGTGCTGGGTGCCTTGCTCTCCCAGCTGTCGGCAGTGCTCACGACGCCCGGGGACCAGACTCTGATGTACAGGGCCTGCAGAGCTTCGCAAGCCAAGCTGAATCAGTGCCAGAATGACTGACCATGGTGTCCCTTCTCAGAACTTCGTGGATTGAAAGCACGTTTGAAGCGATCAAGGCAAGGGTTTTAAGTCGGAAGATTCGCCTGAAGATTGATTCCTTTGCATTCGTTCCTTTGCAATGGAATTTGACTCCATTTAAAACAGCGAGAAGATTGCAATGCCTCCGTGGCTAGTTTGTGTCTGGAAGGAACTAGCACTGGTACAACAAATCGACGATCAACATTCTCACGCCTGTGATCTGAAGACATCTGGCTGATTCCCGAGGCTGGGCTATGTCTTCACACGCAGGGCCTTCACGAAGGGTTTGCTGACCTGAGACAGCTTTGAGTTGTACTTTTGACCGCGCTTTATGATGTACAGGCCATCGCTAGTACGTTGGAGGCCATCGCTAGTAGTTAAATACGTTTGGTGGTGTTTTGTTCTCATTGTGGCAGCCGCTGATCTGGTAGCACGGGCATTCAGAGTCCATCATGAAATGCATTGGAGGAGATTCTGAGTTTTCGTTGTTGGCAAAAACAGTCATGAAAAAGCATGAAAACATTCGTTCAGGATTTCACGTTTTTCCTGCAGACTGACAAAAGGTTTTGGGTTGTTGGATGATGTTAGACTAAGTTCATTTTTTCAATCGGACAATGCCAGAATCGACAACTACTTGGCATGGGCCAGCTCCTCTCACTCTCCCCGATAGGCGGTGCGCGAGTCGGGTGGCAGACGATGCCGAGCTGACTTTCTATTTCCTCAGGAAGGAGGAGGCGCTCCTTTCTGCAGGCCGCCAGGTGGCCTACCCCACGTCATATGTCTGCGCCTGCGCCCTTGCGTATATCACGGATGCCACCTCCATCGGCTACACCGATGGTTGCCCGTAACGTGGAGTTCCGCGAGACCTTTCCTGAGACTGCAGGTGTTGCAAGACAGATAAGACAGGCGAAATTGGGCTATGGCGGACTTTGTTCCGGGGGAGCCCAAAGGCGCACCCCCCTGAGTAAGTCAAGTTAAGCTCGGCGGCGCAGCTTGACGAGGTTCCAAAAATGAGAGTGTCCCACACAGAGGGCGTTGATCGCAAAAGTCATTTTTTCTCAGCTTGCTTGCTCGCTTGCCACGCATGCCAGGAGTGGCCCAAAGCGCTGATTGACGGACTGCGTCCTCCAAGTTGAAGTGTGCTCCGCCTGAGGGGCCCCAACAGTGGGCAGCGTGAAAAATTGATTGGGAATTTGTTGCCAGAGCGCTCTGCAATTGGGGGACTTGATGACATGAAGGTATCCGCTGCCGCCACCTGACCGAACGCTGGCAGTCCGCCCTCCACACCACCCAACACACATCGGTCAACTCCTGCTTCTCCACGTGGCGGACGTAACGCCCTGCTCATACAGTCCCACCACGGAGGTGACACACTCAACAGCGCGTCGGAGGAATCGCCTCACACGAGATGCGTCTGCATGCTCCAATGGGCACATGACATGCAACCGGAACAAGGGACACTATCAGCCTGCCAAAAAAGGCAAAGGTGGAGGAAAACCCACCTTCGTGCCACCCCGGAAGACCTTGGCAGAGCGTATCGCAAATTCCACGCGCCGGATCTGCAACAAGCCTGGCCATTGGAAGCGTGAGTGCCCTCAGAGGTCGGAAAAGACCACAGAGATGACTACGATGGCAGAGACACCTTTTGAGCCAGCGTGAGCAAGATCCTGAGCTGGTCGAGACCTTGCCGGATGCGATCCAGTGGGTGACGTCGCTCCTAGTCAGGCCCGCCTTACCCATGTGGGGTTGCAGCGTGCGCGCGTTCGTCAACGCTGGGGATGCGGACATTTTTTGAGAAGCAGGTCGAGAAGCAGGCCATCTTGGTTTTGCTGAGGATGAGTTGCCTTTCACCGCGCCTTCCACACCAGACCACGTCACCCTGACACCAGAATTGGAGGGGCGGGCGTTGTAGAAGCGTTCTCTCGAAGTGGCTAGATGTTTGGAGTGCTCGTTCGGTTAGCCTTCAGAGGAGTAATCAGAGATAGCAGCTAGCAGCCACACTTGATTTGATTGAAGCTCTCTTTGAAATTCGACCGGAGCGCTAGCAGCCAGCGGCAAGTGATGCGTCCCCCAAAAAAGGCTCGTACCAGGCGCGCCGGAGTTCTGACGTTTCCCGAACGGGGGCTGTTTTCCGCGTACAGTAGATCTAAGCATCTTCGAATTGCGCAACTCAAAGTTTTAAGTATTCCCCATGAAAGGGGTGACCGCCCTCAGTCGGAGCTTGAGGGGGTCTTTCTTTAGGCAATTTTTAGGTTTATCGACGACGTGGCGGCTTTGATGGCCCTTGTGAAAGATCCAAGGTGGATTGGATGACGCAATTTGGTTACTGTACACAGGGACCACGGTTTCCTTGATCACGCCGGCTCCGTGCCCCAGGTGGCAGTTGCCGTTTCGGGTCTTGTCATACCTGTTTGCTCTTTTAGTGCGTTGGGAGTTGAGTGCTTGGGCGCGGTAGCTTGCGTATCAAATCCGCTTCCATTCTTCACGGCTGCGCTTCCTGCACAAAAGGCTGCGAGCTAACCAACACAGATAGCGAGAACCGTTATGACTCATCACAGATAGCAAGAACCTCATGACACTCGAGACGTTTCCGCACCGTGCCGGATGAAAAAGGAGCGCAGTAGCCTGCTTCAATCTGTAAACAAGCATTCAACAATGAAAAGTCACGAAAATATCATTTGTTGAGGCTTTCTTTCACGATCTTTACTGGAGATGGGAGGTTGCAAGCGCGCCGAACCTGAACCTGTGGCAACTTCCGTGGCCGAGCGGCTCTACGCCAGTGCGGTGTCCTGTGGTGGGACTGCGGGCTTTCCAAGGTCTATGGTGGGTTGTTGGATGACGTTGGACTAAGTTCCTTTCTTTTCAACCGGGCATGGTCACTGTGAAGGGCATCTCTGAGACAAGTCTCTGATTTAGATTCCAACCCAGTGAGTGGCCAGCCTCCTTGCTTTTTGCTGAACGGATGAGAGAGGATTTGTAG